TTTTGGGATGGTTTTGAAGCTAAATGAGCTAGGGTATTTATAGTTGAAACTTAGAGACTAATCTTTGAAACTACCATACAGTGCAATGACTAAAGTGAATTTACCCATTCCTATTTTCAACAAACATCTACCAAACTTTGAAAAACATTTTTCAAAGAAACATTTACCAAACTTTGAAAACCATTTTCAAATAAACATTTACCAAACTTTGAAAACCATTTTTTCAAAGTTGGTTACCAAACTTGAAAACATTTTAATACTTTCAACAATCTCCCACTTGAAGACTGATTTTAATCTGTCTTCACACCTCGATCAATGCAATAGCTTTTCTAGTCTTGTTACTCTAGCATGCCAACTGAAGTTGAACACAACTTCAGTTTGTCTGTAGTCACCGTCTTTGTCAACATGTCTGCCGGATTTTGAGCTCCACTGATCTTTTCAAGTTTCAAAATCCCATCTTCCAGAAGAGACCGGATAAAATGATATCGCAATTGTATGTGCTTTGTCCAGGAATGAAAATACAGATTCTTTGCTAGATGTATAGCACTTTGACTGTCGCAATACAAGACATTGTTTTCTTGTTTCTTGCCTAACTCTTCCAAGAATCTTTGGAGCCAAACCATCTCCTTGCTGGCTTCCGTAACAACGATATATTCTGCTTCAGTTGTGGAGAGAGCAACTATCTTCTATAGTTGAGAAACCCAACTCACAACGGTTCCTCCTAGAGTATAGACATACCATGTAGTGCTCCTTCTGATGTCAACATTTTCGGCTAAGTCAGCATCTATATAGCCTGTCAGTATCGTATCTCCACCTTTGAAACAAAGTGCTTTGTTTGTGGTACCCCACAGATATCTGAGGATCCATTTGACTGCTTCCCAGTGTACCTTGCCCGGATTATTAATGTACCTGCTAACAACTCCCACTGCTTGAGCAATATCTGGTCTGGTACAAACCATGGCATACATCAGACTTTCAATTGTTGAGGCATACGACACCTTCACCATTTGTGCACATTCTTCCTCCGTCTTTGGTGATTGTTATTTGGAGAGTCTGAAATGAACACCTAAAGGTGTACTTACTGGTTTAGCATCTTGCACGTTGAACCTGGAGAGTACTTTGTTGATGTACTCAGCCTGTGATAATATTAAAGTCCCCGACTTTGTGTCTCTCTTGATCCTCATCCCAAGAATATGCTTTGCAGCACCCAAATCCTTCATAGCAAACTGCTTCGACAATTTTTGCTTCAAGTTTATAATCTCTTGCATGTCTGATCCTGCAACGAGCATGTCATCAACGTACAACAATAAAATAATGAAGCTATTGTCGAACATCTTGATGTAGCAACAATGATCTTACCAATCTAAGACTAGTTTCATTTTCCACCATTATCAGACCTCAACCGCTTGACTTTCAGACTAGTTTCATTTTCCACCATGGCCTTCCATTTTCTGAAGGTATCAAAGACTTCTGATTTCTTCTTCAGCAAATAAACACACACCTTCCTTGTAGAATCATCGATGAAGGTGACATAATATAATGAGCCTGCAAGAAATGGAACTGGAGATGGTCCCCATACATCAGTATGAACCAACTCTAACTTTTCAGCCTTGGGTGTCTTACCAATCTTTGCAAAGCTGACTTTCTTTTGTTTGCCAAAGATACAATCCTCGCATAGTCCGACATCTACATTCTTTAGATCCGGTAGCTTTCCTTTTGACAAAAGTATCTTCATCCCTTTCTCGCTCATATGGCCAAGCCTTTGGTGCCATAAGTTTGATTTTCCATCAGCATTTGCTGCAGCAATGATATTCTCTAAATTTGAGGTTACATAGAGAGTACCAGTCTTCTTACCACGAGCAATGACGAGTGCTCCTTTGGTGATCTTCCATTCACAGCCTGAAAAAGTTGTGATATATCTTTCTCCATCAAGTTGTCCTACAGAAATCAAATTTCTTTTGAGGCCAGGAATATGTCTCACTCCTGTCAGCTTCCAGGTAGTCTGGTTTGGCAACTTTAGTCGGATGTCTCCTTTTCCGACGATCTTCAAGGTTTCATCATCAGCTAGATGAACCTTCCCAAAATCACCACTGACATAGTTCTCCATGATTTCTTGGCATGGGGTAGAGTGAAAAGATGCCCCTGAATCCAAAATCCATGATTCAATCGGACTGTTGACGCTTAGAATCATGGCATCACCTGTCTCCTCTATCACGTTGGCAGATTTCTGTGCACCGATATTTTTCTTCGGTGCTCGGCAATCTCTTTTAAAGTGACCCTTCTTGCCGCAGTTATAACATGTAAAATCTTTCTTTCCCGTTCTTGATTTTCCCGTTCTGGATTTGGATCTGCCACGATTTGAATTTCTTCCTGAAGTTCTCCCTCTGGACTCCGTGTACAAGGCTGAGGAGGTTAATGCTTCACCCGATTCTCTCCGTCGAATTTCTTCGCTCAGTACCAGATCCCGAACATCGTCGAATTTCAATTTACTATTTCCCGACGAGCTGCTAACTGCTGTAACAGTAGCATTCCAACTGTCTGGTAGAGATGATAAGAGAATTAAAGCTCGAACTTCATCATCGAATTCAATTTCCACTGAACTCAACTGGGTTGTGATTGTGTTGAGTTCATTTAGGTGTTGTGCCATCGATGCCCCTTCCGTCATCCGCAAATTGAATAATCGCCTCATCAAGTGCACTTTGTTTGAGGCTGATGACTTCTCATACATATTGGAGAGAGCCGCCATAAGACCTACTGTGGTTTTTTCCTTTGCTATGTTGAAAGCAACAATGCGGGATAACGTCAGTCGGATAACTCCGAGGGCTTGTCTGTCGAAAAGAGCCCAGTCTTCATTCTTCATGCCCTCTGGTTGCTTTCCTGAGAGAGATTGATATAGATTTTTCTGGTACAAAAAATCTTCGATCTGCATCTTTCAAAAGCCAAAGTATGCACCATCGAACTTTTCAATTTTCACATTCCCTTCGTCTGTAGCCATCGCTCCCACTCGAATCTGGTTTCGTTTGGATCGTTTCTGACAATTCTTGCGAACCACCGTGTATTAGAACACCTCCGTCGATAAACTCGTATCGCCGACAATTTTTTTACTATTCACGTGAATAATAATAAATAGTAACCTCGCAAAAAATTGACAAAATTCACAACCAAAAGCTCTGATGCCAGTTGTTAGGAAATAAACCGAGTACGAGTAATTTTCCTATAACCAGATTAGTGAGAATGCGAAATAAAAGCGGAAAAATAATACCCGAAATTGATAATGGAGTTCAGCCAATTGTGCTTACGTCTCCGGACTGCTGTAGATCTTTTGCTAAGAGAGAAAATTTGCTGGTGTTTACAAAACACTCACTACTCACAAGAAAACTCTCTAGTATTGGGAGAAAAAAATGATTTTTGGGATGGTTTTGAAGCTAAATGAGCTAAGGTATTTATAGTTGAAACTTAGGGACTAATCTTTAAAAATACCCTACAGTGCAATGATTAAAGTGAATTTACCATTCCTATTTTCAACAAAAATCTACCAAACTTTACCAAACTTTGAAAAACATTTTTCAAAGAAATATTTACCAAACTTTGAAAACCATTTTCAAAGAAACATTTACCAAACTTTGAAAACCATTTTTTTTAAAGTTGGTTACCAAACTTAAAAACTATTTTAATAATTTCAACATTGATTTCACCACGAAAGGGGTTCTAAATGCTGCAATGCAAGAGGAGTTATGGAGGTTGAAGAATTCAAATGGGAAGTTTCCTGGAATGATTGGAATTTTGCCTCAAAATGCAGTGACTTTCATTGATAATCATGACACAGGCTCCACTCAGAGGCTTTGGCCTTTCCCATCCGATAAAGTCATGCAGGGCTATGCTTATATCCGATAAAGTCATCCATCATAATTTCTCTCATCTGTAATCCTTTCTTCATTCTCTGCCCCCTTTGTACAACTTACTATACTTGTGCTGTCAAGCATCCTAATGAATGGTTGAGTTTGTGATGTGCAGTTCTATGGTCACTTAGTTGATTGGGGATTAAAGGACGAGATTACTAAACTGTCAGCAATAAGGAAGAACAATGGAATCAGTGAAACAAGCAAAGTGAATATTTTAGCCTCTTATTCTGATCTTCATGTGGATGCAATTGATGACAAAATCATTAGCAAAATTGGCCCAAAGATGGACCTCGGGTAACCTTGTACCTTCCAACTATCAGCTTGCTACCTCAGGGAATGACTATGCCGTGTGGGTAAACAAATGAGACAGTCCACACATTTCCAGGTTGAATTTCATGTACTAAAAGGAATCCACATTCCCCCGTTTGGTTATCCGGGAATCTCATTTCCGGTAATGTAAGATTACTAATAGTACATTTTTTGGGGTATATTACCGGGAATGTCATTACCTCCATTTCCTTAGGTATTGTTGGATTACTGGCGTTTTGGACCAAAATGCCCTTAATTTTTTTTTTTCAAAAATATCATTCTTTTGTCATTGAATAATAAAAATTATACGAAGGTTAAATTACAAATTTATCCTTAAACTATTTTAGATTTACAAAAAAAAATCTATAATTAAAATTTTAACCAAACACGGTAATCTTACATTCCCGCTAAACCAACCAAACACAAAATATAACATTCCCAATAATATTATTCCCTGGTAATCTTACATTCTCATTGGTAATCTTATATTTCGTGAACCAAACGCACCGTAAAAGGCTATTACGGGTTAGATTTCTGTTTGTATGAATATTGTTAGTAAAATAAATATCTATGATCATATATATATATATATATATATATATATATATATATATATATATATATATATATATAATAGTATTTAAATATTAAAAAATATCAAATCTATACGATCAATAAAGCGATATTGGTAAAATTAAATTAAACCTATAAATATAAATTCAGATTAAGAGATCCGCCACCGCAACTAACGGTCAACCGTAAAATACCCCGCCGAGTAACTCATTTTCAAAACTCCAAACCCTAATAAATGTGGAAAAGCCGAAAGACCTAAAAAGTAAAAACCGGCATTCTCCCAATTTCAAATTTCGAAACTTGGCGCTCTTTGCATATACCATTTCCCCTTCCGCTTCGATCCCCCCCAAAAAGAGAGCCATTTTCTAAATTCACAGTTCAGTTCTCTTTCAATAGCAATGGGAGGAGCCCACAGTCGCGACGATCTGATTTCAGACTCAGACGAGGAGGAGTATGAAGAAGAAAACGGAGAAGAAGAAGAGTACCAAGATTCCAAAGACGAGACCCCGGAAAGATCTTCAGATCGAAGACCCAAAACGCCGTCCTCTATCGACGAAGTGGAGACTAAGCTCAAAGCCCTCAAGCTCAAATACGGATCGGCCAACCCCCAAAATCCATCTCTTACAAACGCCGTTAAGTTGTACCTCCACATCGGCGGTAACACCCCTAAAGCCAAATGGGTCACTTCCGAGAAGCTCACCTCTTTCTCTTTCATCAAGACATCGAAAATCAACTGTCAGGATGGAGAGGAAGATGATGAAGAGAGTGAAAACGAAGAGGAAAACAGGGAAGCTTGGTGGGTTCTGAAGGTTGCTAACAAAATTAAAGTGAAGGTCGGGGTGGAAATGCAGCTTAAGAGTTTTGGAGATCAACGTAGGGTTGATTTCGTTACCAAGGGGGTTTGGGCTATGAAGTTTTTTAGCGATGAAGAGTATAGGAACTTCATTAGCAAGTTTAATGACTGTTTGTTTGAGAATACTTATGGGATCGAGTCAAATGATGCTAACAAAGTTAAGGTTTACGGAAAAGATTTTATTGGATGGGCCAAGCCTGAAGCAGCTGATGATTCTATTTGGGAAGATGCTGAGGATGTTTCGTTCAACAGCCCTCAACCAGTGAGGGCAAATCAGAATCTCAGGGAGGAGATTGAGGAGGCGGCAAACGGAGGGATTCAAAGCTTGGCTCTGGGGGCATTGGATAATAGTTTTTTGGTGGGTGATTCAGGTATTCAAGTTGTTAAGAATTTTGCTCACGGGATTCACGGTAAAGGTGTTTACGTAAATTTTGACCATGGGAATCAGAAGAGTGCTTCAAAGCTGGTGCATTCAACACCGAAGAGAGCTCTTCTTATGAAAGCTGAGACGAATATGCTGCTCATGAGTCCAACGACTGAAGGGAAGCCTCACACAACTGGGCTTCATCAGCTGGATATCGAGACTGGGAAGATAGTCACGGAGTGGAAGTTCGGGAAAGATGGAACTGATATTACAATGAGAGATATTATAAATGATAGTAAGGGAGCTCAGTTGGACCCATCAGGAGCCACATTCTTAGGATTGGATGATAATAGGCTCTGCAGGTGGGATATGCGAGACCGGAATGGGATAGTTCAGAATCTGGCTACTAGCACCCCTGTTTTGAACTGGGCTCAAGGGCATCAGTTTTCAAGAGGGACTAACTTCCAGTGCTTTGCAACCACTGGTGATGGCTCTATTGTTGTTGGGTCTCTTGATGGGAAGATCCGTTTGTACTCAACCAATTCTATGAGACAGGCAAAGACAGCGTTTCCAGGCCTTGGGTCGCCTATCACTCATGTTGATGTTACCTTTGATGGAAAGTGGATATTGGGCACAACTGATACCTATTTGATTCTTATTTGCACCCTTTTCACTGACAAGGATGGCAAGACAAAGACAGGTTTTAGTGGGCGTATGGGGAATAGGATTGCTGCCCCAAGGTTGTTAAAGCTCACTCCTCTGGATTCACATTTAGCTGGGGTTAATAACAAGTTCCGTAATGCTCAATTTTCATGGGTAAAGTATACATTACCTCTCACTTAGATTCAATTCTCTAGCATGTGCTTTTAGCTGATGAACTTCATATTAATGTTCTCCTTGTAGATATGACCAACCATTTAATTTGGAATGAAGAACTTAGTAGGCAGGAATGTTGCTTTTTACTAGTGGAAATATTTTACATCCCTTGATTTTATATTTTGTTGCCAAGAAAATATGGTTCCTTTACGTTGCATTATTTATCGATGCATTGGTTGCATAATCATGAAGACTAGCATTTTCTAGGTTTAGGATCCGAAAACTGATATGATTGGCTGAAATAAGATGAGTGAAGAAAGAGAATGGAAAGACTCCGTTGTTGTTTAATAGATGACTGACTGAGATTAAGACTTGCCCTTTTTTAAGATTCAGAAACTGCTATTTCTGTGATATTCTTAGATCCATGAATAAAATGCTTTGACCATGTGTGTAACTGCATTTCATAGGTCACAGAGAATGGGAAGCAGGAACGCCATCTAGTTGCAACAGTAGGCAAGTTTAGTGTAATATGGAACTTCCAACAAGTGAAGAATGGATCTCATGAATGCTACCATAATCAAGAGGGTCTCAAGAGTTGCTACTGTTATAAGATAGTCATTAAGGATGACTCAATTGTTGATAGTCGTTTCATGCATGACAAGTTTGCCGTCACTGATTCTCCCGAAGCTCCACTGGTTATTGCCACTTCCTTGAAAGTCAGCTCGTTCAGCATATCCAGCAAGCGATGATGACATTCTCAGATACAACTGTTTCGCTTTACTCTATTTGATCATTTTCCAAACATTGCTGGGCAAGTCACTGCTGCAATTTACAGAGCTTCTCAACTTTATTTTTCCTTATTAGATTAGGTGTCTTTGAAAGTTTTTCTGCAAACCCTTGTTTGGTTTAAGCTTCTTATATGTGATCCTAGTATTTTTATTTTTACTCATCGCCGTGTTTTAGTTCTAAATAAAAGGCAGCCACTGCTTTCTAACTCAAAAGCTATTGGCAGCTAGGAAGACTTTGTTATGCTTTAATGTGATTGAATCGATCTGCTTTCTATTTTGAATGGTCTGTTCTGATTGAAGCATATAATGTTTGGACATACATATGGGGGCACTTTCAAGTGAAATAGCAAAAAATATTGATATCAAATCTCTTAGTTGGCATTGTAAAAGAATTGATCTCTGAACAAAAACTCTAGATAAATCAATTATTTAATTTCTTTATTGATCTGATTCAGATTTAGTTTTTGAAGTAATAGAAATTCCTTATTGTTTAGGGGTTTCTCTTCTAATAATTGAAAATGTATTGTGTTCTTGAGCATTTGTGCGTCATTTTAGTTTCAATATTTTATCTCTTGATTTTAAGAAGGGTTTCGCGCGTGCCTCGAATGAGGAAAATACTGTACATAGATCTTGTTTAACTTATTGTGACTTGTATATCGAGCTGCTGGGTTTAGTTCACCATGGTCGGTCCAAATCAACTGAGGTGAACCGTACAACTGAGGCTCAGAACATGAGGTAAGCCGCAGCAAGCTAGACATGATCGCAGGATTATGCTCCTCAGTTAACTAACTCACGGGGCCTTGTTTTTGGTCGAGATTGAAACTAAAACGACAAACAAATATCCTAAGAATACATATAACCTTCCTATTGTTAGAGGTTCTAACCGAGAAATAGGGATTCAATAGATCCCTCAACACTTAAATAAAGATAATGCGAATAACAAACCAAATCCCGTCATCAAAAGAAACATCAGTTTTACAAGAGTTGACGTCCAAGCTTCTCAAAGCATATAAGAACCATCTTTATGTCTTACTCCAGAATCCAGGTCCCTTAACCATTCAACTTCTTCCAGTATGCAAAATATGTTCTCAACTTTATCATACATCAAATAACTCACTAGAATTTACACTCAAACGAGTAAAAATCTGTCAAATCTTATAAAATATTTATGGACACTGATAAACAAGGAAAAAGGGAGGTAAAATCACAACAAAAGATCACACAACACTTCATTGATGACTTATGTGGGACTTGGATGAACTTAACTTCTTCCTGGACAAAAACATTAAAACCTTGAGGAACAAAGACTTTTTCCTTTTCTTTACAACCTTCGGTTCTGGGGATGATTCAGTTTCTGTGTTATGCCCATGATCATATGCCTTTGGGCTTGCTACAGTGTTGAGAGGAGCAGCCTGTACAGGTTCGAAGTTCTTCATTTCTTTCTTTCCCTCAGTACTTGCCCTTGGAGCTTTTTCTCCATGACTCAATTCAGTATCCTTTCGCCGCTGCTCATGTTCAGCCCTCCACCTTCTCAACTCCTGCTCAATACCTAACTTCCCTTCCTTGGCCTTCTCAGCCTTCTCCATTGCAATTTTTAGTGCTTCCTTTCTTTCGGCCATCTCTCGAGTTACTTCTTCTAGCTTTTCCAAGCTTCTTGACTCAGACTGCTTAGCTATCTCAATTTGCGAAATGGCAGATGCCACCCTCATGTTGGCCTGTTCCTCTGCCTCGTTTGCTAATTTACTGAGTTCATAGTACTCCTCTAAGGAAAGCGTTACACCAGCTAGTGAATCAACATCATTGGTGCTTTTAGCTGATTCACTCTCTTGCAACGCTTTGATTGCAGCTAATGCTAACTTCTCTGAAGCCTTGGCAGCCTCTATCTCCTTTTGAGCTGCAAGTAATCGGCTCTGCATGGTACTTGCTCCAGCCTTTGCTTGCGCTGCTTCTTCCTTTGCTTTGCGCAGCTCTTCACAAGCCATTTCAGCAAGTGACTTGGCCTCATCAGCCACTTGTGCTGCCTGCTGCAGTTGTTTGGGCAGCTCCACCATTTCTTCTCTGGCCTCTTTTTCCTTCATCTGGACTACTGCTATTTCTGACCGAGTCTTGTCCAGCTCAGCTTCCAGAGAAGCAACAGCAATCAAAGCCATGCCTTCTCTCTGCTTAATGTTGGCAAGCGCAGACTTTTCCTTGTCAAGCTCTGATTTTAATGAAATAGCAGCCACCTTCAAACAATCAACTTCTACAATTGCTTTTCCTATATCGACCTTCACGTCTTCAAGTTCCTTCTTCAATGAAGCAATGACAGCTTGTACATCAGTGTGAGTTCTTTTCTCTGATTCCTGTGAATCGTTATTGCGGTGTCCACCAGTTTCCTCAAGTTTAGATTCCATATAAGCAGCTAATTCAGCTTTCAGATCAAGTAGCAGTGCTGAAGCGGAGTCTAGCTTTGATTTCAGATCCTTTGCTGAATGAATTTGCTGATTGAGTTTCTGGAGCTCCTCTTCAACCTGTTTCAGTTCCTTCTCCCAATGGTGCGTATCTTGGTCTCTGGCCATGGCTGCTCCAATCCTTCTCTCTTCTGCCTCCAAATGGGCAGCATGTGCAGACTCTAAGGACTCCTTTGTGGCAATCAATTCAATAGTCAATTCTTCCACCGTCTTCTCAACCTCTTTTGAAGCAGAAACAGCCTCTTCAGCTTTCTTAACAGCGATATCTTTCTCATTCATCAAAGAAGCATATTCCTTTTTTGATGCTTCTAACTCTTCTTTAACAGTTTTAAGTTCCGAAACTGCAGCTGCATGCCTGGCTTTAGCAACCTCAAGCTGTGCCTTTGCCGCAACACTAGCCTCATCAGCAATCCCTTGTTCCATCTCCTCCACCCTGAGCTTAGCAAGTTCAGAGTCTTGTTTTGCCTGATTCTCTTCAGTTTGTGCTCTCTCCAGGTTTAGCTTGAGCTCTTCTATTAGTCTCTTTGTGCTGTCGAGCTCCTTTAATACTTTCATTTTTCCCTCTTCAGCGTCTTCTGATCGTTTCTTATATTCAGGCATTTCCTCCTGGACTTTCACAAACTCTTGCTCCACAAGCTTGCGTCTCTATAGCACAAAAATAAATTTTAAGTTTTAGTGGAGATGAACAAAGTATAGACAGAAAAGAAAAAATTATGGTGATCATTAATAGTTGATAAAGACAACAGAATTTCAAGATGAATGATGTTCCCAATACATGACAAAACTATAGTTACTATACTACCTCCAAAGTTTGCATTCTATGAGCTTTCCAATCAACAATTCCCCCAAACATGGAAACAGCTTCTTTAACAGATTCGAAAGGCGCTGCTGTATCAATGAGTCCTTTATTTAAATCAACTTGCTTTTTGTGTGTAGGGCTAATAGATTTTGGGGATTCGGCAGTAGAACTGATAATCTTTTGATGAGGTTGAGTAAGATCATTCAGTTTGGCTACATGATCCTCATTTCTAGGATCTCCTGCCTTAGAGTCATTGACTTTGGTCGAGGATGAAAGAACGCTACTCTCATTATTAACAGAACTGACAATAGAATTGGCTTCCTGAGATTGCTGTCTATCAGAAACACCGTGCATAAATCCAAGAGAAGCTCCGGCAGGTGTGGCATGGTCATTTTCAGAATCTCCAACTTTTAGATTGGAAGCAGGAGGAACAGCTATGTCCTCGATATGTGCAACACCAGGGGAACCAGTATTTTGAGATGGCTGCTCATCAGAACTGTCCTGCATTCTCCCAGTCCTAGAATTTTCCATCTGTCTACCTTGATGATCTGTCTCAGTTTGATCTATTTTAACTGATGAAGTTGAACCTGCACCATCTTTTCTACAGTCTTCTTGTCCTCTAATTTGGTCATCAGAAGCATTTTTTAAAGAGTCTGATTCAGAACTTTCCATTATTGGCAAATGACTTTCAGGTTGTTTTCTCCCATTACTAATCGAAATTGTTTGACCTTCACCAGAATTATGGTCCATATCTACAGGCAATGAAGCAGATTCTGACATCTCTTCTGCATTTACATTCTCCATATTTGAAAATGACAAGCTGTCTGAAATCAAGTAACCAGAAACCATTCAAGACACAGGAAAAATAAATTCACAAGAAACTACTGCCTAATCCATCTAATTCCAGACATAACAGCTGACATGAAAATCAGCAATTATTTGTTCAACATATAGAATAAATTTCAGCAAAACAGATCAATGTCTGCAACTACATTTCTCATAGATCCTCAATTTAAGTTGACAAGTTTTGACCAAAGAAATCAGTTGGAGCCTGGAAAACAGGAACAGTTTGTCCTCTCAAACTTTTTTCCCTCTATGTTTAAGCTAGCTCATGTACAGTATAGATATCCAATCTCTTATCAGGCACAGATGTTTAATTTAAGACTCGATCAGCAAACATATCAACAACAGCTAATCACACCGAGGAATGAACCACCAATATCAAGGGACGTTAATGCAGCAGATGTTGAACATCTCATCAAATTTAAATTCATGCAAAAGCCCCGTTCCAATTTTCATATCAAATCTCTATATACCTCTAATACAGAACCCTATTAATCATGGACGCTAAGTTTAGACCCACAATTAGACGGTCATGATACAGACTAGCAATGTAATCTGCAAATAAACTTAAACTAGATACATCAAAGCCGGTCCAATTCATAGATTAGAAGCATATTTCAATCCGATTTCTTTTTTATGAGAAAATAAACTACTTAAGTTAATCATGATTGAAGATCTTTACTAGTGTTTTCAAAAAATATATATTGCTTCTTAACCATAGAAAGATAACCATAACAATACTTTGAGACAAGGAGACCGATTTTTGTCTATAAAATCTTTAATATTGAATCTAATTGCTAAAATTTCAGCAAAAAAAAAAAAAAAAAAAGGAAAGCTCGCGGCAGGCTAAAGAAGTTAATATATCAATTAAGAAGTTCCGCTAGCAAAAAGAATGGAAAATAAATCAAGAAAGTAAGCTTGAAAACTTATGTCAACGACGTGATGATAAGCTTGAAAACTTATGTCAACGACGTGATGATAAATCCAACCAATTCAAACACCAGCAATTTCAAAATACTCAGAGCTTCATTTCCGCCGCAAAAGTTACAAAAATAAAAGATCAGCTGCTTAATTCATAATTAAAGCATCGATTTGACAGAGATTAATGGAAAGCTAATCAATAAATTTCATCCTAAAAAGGAAAGGAAAGGAACTTACCCGGATTTCCCAGGAACAAAAGACTAACGGGAGTAGAAAAGTGCGATGATAATTAATGAATTCTGAAAATTAAAGGGAAACAAATCATTAATTAATAGAAATGAATGAGGAAATTTCACAGCTAAGCTTAGGGGAAAAAGGCCGAGGGAAGGCCACGTGCCAGCCAATCTATCGTCGCCTCTTCATGTACACTAGATAGCAGTTTACTTGCTCTCTTCACTCTTCAGGGATATATTTTGTTTCAATTTTAGTTGAACTGTATATTTTTGTTTTAAATTTTGTCATAAATGAGGTGATATTTTATTTTTCGAAAAGAGATGACCGTAAAATTTGGACCACAACTCAGCTCAGCTCAACTCAACTCAACTCAACTCAATTCAAACGGAAAAGGAACGGTGACGAAGATATGACAACGGAGAGAGAGAGAATGACGGAAAACCCCTTAAAGTCTAACGTTGGAGATATAACTAAGACCGTTGGATCGGAATAAAACGGATCGAGATTATGGTATTAGCTTAAAAGGGCTTTTTCCCCTGTTTGGGGGTTTGGGTAAGTGGGAACGACCGAGATTTACGTGAGAGTTTGGAGATGATTGCGTCGGTCGATGTGTCCTAAAGAAACTTCTTTGCTGTAAGTGGCAGTAAAAAACATTAAAAAAAAGATAGAAAGAAAGAAAGAAGAAAAGGGAAGATGGGCCCTACCTTGAAATCTTGCGCTTCATGTGGCCTTTATTTTTCTAATCTTTTTAATATCAGTTTTCTCACATTTAATTATTTTTATTTTATGTAAGTGTTGTACCAGGGGATGGCAAGCAGATACAATTTTATAGATTTTGTACTATATTTGTTTTGATTAGGGTGGAGATAGGTATAATTTTAGTGTGGGTAGATGTGGATTTAGAAAATGGTACTCGTCGCGGGTAGTGGGTTTGAGACCTTACTCCCTCGCATCCTCCTGCCCCACATTAGTCCACCCACTAAATACTCATTAAATTTTGGATCATTATAAATTTAGGTATAATTTTAGAGTTTGTCATTTATGTGTGCCAAATAACAAAAATATTATGTGTTTGTCATTTATGTTTCTAGGCTTTAATTATGTATTTTATGTACTTTAAGATCTATGTTAACACTAAACTCAGATAACTTTGATTTATTTTATTATGTTTCTTAATGGACGCGTTTGTTTTATGTTTGTTGCTTATGTATAACTTAAGGTTGTTGTAAGGCGGGTATAGCCGAGTACGTCTCCAGTTGGGTAGTGGGTGTGGGGATGGATTTGAGAATGTACCCGCGTGAGCGAGTGTGAATTTAAAAATTTTTACCCATCATGAGTGGTAGGAAGGTGGTGAATTTGAAAATATTAGATGGGTATGGGGATGGAAAAGGGATATCTACACCCGACCCACCCGTTTGTCATCCTTAGTTGTACCGTTTAAGTGAAATTTAACTTAAAATTAATTTATATAATTCAAGTTTCAATGAAAGTCTTAACTTAAATGAATTTTAAAAGTAAGATACAAAATTAATATATAAAATATCATAACATTATTTTATCAACAATTAACATGATCTTTCGTCTCTCTTTGATATTAATATTATTTATAATATACATTAATATAAATAATTATTAGGCACAAATTAAATAATTTATAATTACACAGAATTACTTTAATGAGAAACTCATAATGAGAAAAATTTACTCGACCTTTTATTCAAAATCTACTACAGAAGGAAGTGAATCAACATTTTCAGTGAGGAGTTCATAATGAGAAAAAATCATTCACGGAGAGAGAAAAGTTCATAATGAGAATAACTTGTTCCAAATTTTGTTCAAATCTATCACAGAAGGAGGTGGACCGACACTTTCAATAGCAAATTCATAATGCAAAGAGCTTACCTATTCTTTTGAGATCGATAGAAGAAAGAAATGCATATCAACTTTTGCAAGGGAGTGAGAAGTTCCTATGAGAAGAATTTGTAGCTCTAAGATTTAAGACATTTTGATAAGATTTTGAACGAAAATTTGTGTCCTTTTCGTTTTTGTCTTATTCTCGTTACAAGATAATGGACAAAGAGGAACAGTTGTAGACACATATTTTTATCTAGATTTAATATATATTTATATTATATTATATAGTATTAGTATATTATATTATTATATTAACATTTCTTATTATTTATTATTTAACATTATTATTTATTATTATTACTATTACGTAGTATTATTTATATATATTATATATATTATAAATTATAATTATGTTATACACTATGATAATATTTCTTATGTGTCATACGTATATTATATATTACATAGTATTATTGTATACCATATATTATATTAGATTATATTTATTATATAGTAATTATTATTCTTTATTTTTGTAGGTACATTGGGATCAATTCTAGAACAGATCCAACATGTAATTCATACTAAGCCCATCAGATCAAAATATAATCTAACGGTCCAGATTAAGCATCTTTTATGATTTTTTTTTTGAAAATCCTAATTCCAGCCCCACAAACTTTAATAATTTATAAAAATTAAATTCAATAAAAAATTAATGTATATAATTACACAGAATTATAGTCTATATATTACGTTGTACTTCGAATGAAAATTGACGTGTAATTTAAATATTTATGCATATAATTAAGGCAAATGCAAATTTGCTGGGGAATAAGAAGCATCAAGTAAATTATGTGCTGCGAATATTGTAGAGAGTAATGTTTAATCAATGTGTGATCATACAAATGATATCCCGTGTAGCAATGAAGGCATAAATTATCTGGGAAAACAGCTCAAGAAGGTGTTTCTACAAAATGAAGTAAACAAAAAGATTGATGATGAGAAAAGAAAAAAAAGTAAGAATAACAAATTCTAATCCATCAAATTATATTGCCTTGGATCTGTAATATTTATCTTCCAATGCTCATCTTGGAATCCTTCCTTTGCAGCCATTTTTCTATCCCAGTCCAAGTCATTCTTTCTTTGCTTCGTCAACCCTCATTGCTGCTGCAACTTGGCATCCATGGCGTCATGGAACTTCCACCATCTTAGTTGTGCCACATCGCTGGCGTAAACACGTTGATCCCCAATGTCCCAGTTGCAGTCATAATCCCTGTAACAATGCCAAGGCTTCAATCCCAATTCCCAAGTAATGGATCGAGTAAACTTTGGGTGGCTCGACTGAGAAAAGCTGGCTCTTTAGACCAGTTTCAACGGTGCTGTTGGCCCAAAAGTTATTGAGAAAGTTCACTCTCCTCGGTAAACGATGCCACCAAACGAACACTTCATTTAGAAAACCTTGGTCCCCTCCGTTGTATGAGAATATTTCCTTACGTTTGTTCATTAAAAGTTTGAACGTGCAATTTGATGGCTCGATCACCATAATACCCGAATTGAAAATCCATATGTCGTTTCCCGTGGCAGTCATTTGAGGGAAATGGAAAAGGAGATCAAGGTTTTTCAAGACAAGGATGTCTGCATCAATGAATATGACCTTGTCGTAATCCGTCATCTGCCACAACAGGAACTTGCTGTAGTTGTATTCGTTGTAGGAGTCTTTTTCGGCTCGAGGGTTTCGGATTCTCTTGATGAAGCGGAGTTGCCACCCGGCCGCCTTGAGGGCTTCACACTTCGGCTCGGTGATGGACCGGTCTAGGAGAAGGACGAGGTCGCGGTTGGTGCCGGATTTTGGGAGACTTTGAGCTAGTGTTATGGCTCCGCAAACGTATGATTCGGAAGAATGGAGGACCGTGGCATAGGCTTCACGCTTGGGGGCACTTGTTGCCTGTTGGATTTCAGAGACATCAAACACTTCATCGTTTCCTGAAATGTTTAATTCATTTTCTTCCTGTTATTAAGCATTAATGGAATTTCAATCACTTTTGGGTGCTTAACAATCACCAAACTGGACTAATTAGTGCTGATAAAAATTATTGCTGCAAGTAAAGGTGAGTAACATTGCTTGCAAACAAAGAAAAAATATGATGACATATTGAATTCTGACTGAGTTTTGATGTGGAACGTTGAACTAAAGAGTAAATGCATGTGAAGGAAATTGAATGATGAGATATGAGAGTTGACATCAACAGTGGGAATTAAATGCGAAAGTTGGGAGAGGCCCCCATCGACTTTTTAGTTGACTAAATCGATTCTTAGGTCATAACTAATGAAAAAATTAGTAGAACATATGATTTATTTGTGGCTGAAGCAGTGGAGCCAAAGACAACAAAAGCATAACAACTACATCTTAGACTTTGTCAGCAAGCAAAATCAATTTACTTGGAGGTTGGTCATCATTTAACATCAATAAAGCTAGCTACTCTTTTATAATATTTCCTCATCTTTATCACTATTTTTTCTTTCATTATTTCCTTTACATTTACCTAATTTTGATCTTCAGCTACTTTCAGAAAGCTCAGTTAAGTGATGAAGAAATTTTCAGAGTTGTTGATTAGTAACTTGTTAGTTTGGATAAAAAAATGTGAAATAACCATGCCTTCATTAAGCGCCTGTAGCTCAGTGGATAGAGCGTCTGTTTCCTAAGCAGAAAGTCATAGGTTCGACCCCTATCTGGCGCGTATGTTTATATTTTACCCCATCTTTGCTTCGTTTCTTAACTAACGTTAAATGTTTTCCATTCCTTGAGTAATGCAATGAAAGTAGGAATTAAAATGATACGCATACCTCGTCCCCATAATGGCAGGGCCAGATTGCAGGAACCAATTGGCAAAGAAACCTTTTGTTCTAATCTTGCTATTAGGGGTTCGTAGTACCACCACTCACCTTCCTGTTTCACCAAATCATTGCATCGAAACACCTCCAACATCGGCCTGCACTTACTCAGGAACACCACCCTGGTCCTCATATTCCAATCTCTTTTCCCCTTTTTAACCGCCAGATTTGCCGCTATCAGGTGAACCTGCAGCCTGAACACGTCCCTGCCCCAACCGTCTACAGGATACTTGCAGGGCAGTCTCGCCACTATCAAGTGCATGTCATCGTATTGGCTGAAGTCCGGCATCGGCAACTCAGGGCACATTGGCCCGTCGATCTCTTCCTCTTCATCAATCCATTCGGGAAACAAGTCCGGCCATTCGAAAAGCTCCGAGACTCGCTCGAATGGATCGGGACTGTCTCTCCATGTTTTTCCCATTCACTATAATCCACATCCTCGAAGTTCAACATCCCAATCTTAATACCTCCTCCAATCTCATCAACGAAACTCGGCACCTCTAACATTGTCAAGCTTCTCTTGATCTCCGGTTTAACGGCTTCAGTTTATTCCAGGACCGCCTTCATCTTCACCCCTTTCTCCACCTACAACAACCGCATGCCCATCAGACATCAGAAGATAAAATGATAAAACAAAATCAAACATGGAAAGCAAATATTGAATTTGAGTAAGCTCACCTTACCTTGTGATGGCACTCACGTAAAGAGCATCTGACAACCGATGCTGCATTCTGGAAATAGAGTGAAGAAGACAGGCGAAAGAGAAGAGATGCATAGATAAGCAGAAATAAAGCAAGAAAAGCCAGGTTGATTCTGATAACCAATGCCTTTGAGGGGGCTGCTTTTATGATCTTTTGAAGGCCAAACCCCAACTCACCCATCCTTAAGCTAAGGTGTCCTACCTCAATGCAACCTCAATATATATATATATATATAGATGTATGTATACTTGTTATAGTTAATTTTTATAACAGCTTCTTTTATAGTTCAATAAATTAAAATACGTAATTTTTAGAGTAAAACACAAAAGAAGTCGGGCCATTTAAAAACCTCCATCTGTCGTTCCCTTATTAACGAAGCTTAGAGTTTACTTCTATCTCAGTCCCAATCCAATGCTGTTGGTGGCAATTCCCCTATCTTCCCAACATATCCTTCCCCATTACACTGAACTACAAACTTGTACACCAATTCTTTTTCCATAAGGCCTAATATATAAGTTATCTTCGAATTTGGTAATTTTTTTTAAAGTTTATATTTATTTATTTTTAATAAAAGTTATCTGATTTTTTCTTCAAATTTCCACGTAAACCAAACGTGTGCTTTCCAAAATCATGCAGACAAAAGACTATTCCTTTATGCTTCTTAAAGCCTTGATTACGCGTCTGCATGTTTTAATTATGCTAACCCGATTAATTTCCATGTTTTATTTACTTGCAAAGACTTAAAGCACCACACGGGTGTATAAATATGAGAAGCCTTCAAGCACTTGTAAACTGAGAAGCAATTGTGTCAGGAGAGGAGCAGACAAGAATATTTTGATTATCGGAAATGGCGATTAAAACTCGTAACTAATCCATTGACGGTAAGCGAGTGATGACTGTTAATGAATTCACTACATGTTTAAAGGGATTTGATGAAGATAACGATGGAAGGATGAGCAAAGACGAGCTTGCCAATGCCATAAGAGTCTCGGGAGGATGGTTTGCTAACAGGAAGAGCAAGCAGGGAGTTCAATCTGTGGATGCCAATGGCAACGGCTTTATCGATGACAGCGAGATCAAAAACCTTGCGTAGTTTGCAGAGCAACACTTGAATGTTAGGATTTTGTTTCTGTGAAGTGTTTGATTTGAGTCCACATCCCTTTGCTCCTTTCTTCTTGTATGATATGTTCATCCATCTGTTGATTCGAACGAGTTAGTAATCCAAAAAACCATTCTTTCTATCCGCTCCCGAACATAAGATAAAAGATTGCAGATTCTATATTTTTTTTTAAATCAAATTAGATTCTAATATGAGTCTGCCTCTTCTCCCCTTGAAAATTTTTAACAAAAGTTAACACTTTTTAACAATTTGTCCACCTCAATCACATGGATTCGCTATACAGAATTATACATCAAATAATTCTGAACCCAAATAAAACTGAGATGAATCAACCCTTTCTATGTATGCAAGTTAAATCACTTCGGACAACGAGAGTCGGCCAGTTCTGCCTTTTAAAGACATGGTGGAAGTTCTAGCCAATGGCCGTGGGTCACACATAAACCTGTAGTTTCCTGCGCAATCTCACGTTAGAAAGTCAGAAAAATAGATACACTTGAAACTTCAACGGTGCTAGCTAGATGGATCTTGGAAAGCGCAGGCAAGGAGATGCAAGGTCTCTGCCTCAACTACTATATGTCTAATAAACTGGTACTCAAGTTCTGCTACTCAAGTTCCAAGTAGATACTAGAATGCTAATTAACACGATTCATTTCAGATGACTACCCAGCGATCCATCTCGAGTTTTTAACAAATATTTGAAACTAACATCAAAATTTACCTGTACAGCACCAAAAAGATGGCAGACATTGTACATCTATCTTGGTATCCGAATGCTCAAGACATCTTCATATATCAATCAAAGGAGGTGGCAGTTTCCAGAAATTCCACGAATTAAAATCCTCCTGCAACTAATAGAAGTAAATTAAGATGCAGAACAAAATAAATAAAATGAAACACCCTAAAATGAATTAAATTAAACTAAAAGATTGAGAGTTTAGACAATATATTCTCAGTAAGATGCTACTCTGGCATGATAGATGTCACCTAAGTGAAGGATGGAAAATCTAAAAGAAAGCAGGGAACAATCGGGTTTCTCTTCACAAAAATAAGTGTACGAAAACTCAGCCTAGTCACCATCACAACCATGTTTACCAACAGACATATCCACAAAAGGCTCTGATTGGGAAACAAACTCCATGTTGTGGGTTATCAATGGAAAAAGAAAAGGTAACAAAACCTGCTCCGCGGAGGCCATGGGCGGAAACATGGCATGAACAAGATCATGAAGGGAACTATAAGATTTGTCAACACAGTGGTTCATAGCTACCTCACCCTGCAAACATGAAACCGTTAGAAGAGAAGTTTGGTGCAGTAACATTGGAAGCATTTGGTAACCATTCTTTAAGCATGAAATCCTTAGATTACCTTTGGATTGATAATGAAGATTTTCCCTTTTGGGATTCCAACCCTAAGATAGCTGATTTCATCAGTATCTCTATTCCCAAAACCAGCATAGAATGGATTGCAATCAGGTGGAAACAATGCTTTGATATCCTATAAGTCGAAAGATTGAAAAGAAACTGAGATTTTAAGTTATAATGAATTTTAAGAAAAAAAATTCACATGCATAATATTAAGACCAATTTAAATCATAAGGAATGAAGTTCAAGAGTTGTAATTATATAAATTTGTTACATAACTCGATGATTCAAATCTAATTATGTTGAGAAATTCAATAAAGTAGGACATCCCTCTAAACAATGTAAATTGCTCTGAGACTTGCATGCAACCAATCCTACTGATTTGATTTATAAACCATTTGGATGTATATAAAAACTTGAAATGCTAGAAGTAACAGAAACTAATTTAACAGTAAAAATAATATATCAGATAAATTCAACATATTAGAAGCAAATATGTTAGCACAGAGAACTAACCTCTAAGCAAGCGATCTTGAACTCATGGGGAGCTCTTCTAATGACTGAGAAATATATAGGATATTTAAGAATTAATAATGTGGATTAGAGATACCTTTTGGGGTAAGAGACAAAGAAACAGATAAGAAGAAATATATACAGAAAACTCTAATATGGTTGATGGCTTAAAAGCACATTCTCCAAACCAGAAACAATAACATCTTAACCTTCAATTTAATTTTCAAAGTGATCAAGCATAGGAAGTTTTTAATTTCCTAATCAGAAGGCACATAAGAGAAAACAGAAACAAAATAAAATAGAACAAGCTTTCATATTTATATCAGTTCAAAGTGTCAATACAACTAAAACTTTGATTTTGGGTTGTAAATTGTAATTGCATGTCTCATGCATCAATTTTAAAGGTACAGCTATGATTACTCATCTTAGTTATTGAAGAAAAATCCTTAGGGGTTTAACATAATGGGATTTAATGCTTCACGATAATGCACCATGTCTCATGGATTTCATACAAGTTAATATAAAAGGAGGCATTTGCCTTATCCTACAGAGAATTGGCAATTTAGAAGCTCATAGAGTCGCATGCCACACAAATTTTTAATTTAATGTATTAAAATAATTGATGTCCTAATTGGACTATGAAGGCATAACGCATGCAACAAAACCCAAACAATAATAGACATTAAAATGGTATATGTCGAATAAGAAAAGCAAGCCTAGCAGTCACATATCTCACACATGAAATCAACCCCAGAAAACAGTTTAGTTAAGTCCCGGAAATGTAAACAATTACCTTCTCTATATAGGGATGGAAAAAGCCCATCAGGGGAAATAACAATTGGCCCATCTGGTAAAACCTTACCATCCTACAGGCATTAATAAAATGTTCAGTAAACAGTTCCACATTTTCTTGAGCAATGGTAGTATGCTATCCGAACAAAAACAACAAATAAAAACATGAATTTGTTTTAACTTATTGACTATCATTTTACTGTTCAATATAAGAAAAGCATTAAACTAGCATAGTTCACCTGCTTAAGGTTGACTAAAAATTTTCTAGTGATATATGCCTGGGATATCGCACGGGCACTAAGAAAAAGCAACTGGTACCCATTTTCCTGCAACACAGAAGAAGAATTTATGTATCGGAGATATTAATAGTGTTATTCATATTCTGAGTCTCTGTCAAATCTAGAACGCTTTTTCTTTATACATTGGTTTACAAACCAGAGGTTTTTTCTGGTTGTAAACACGAGAAGGAATAAAGTATCATGAGCTGAAAATTTAACATGTAAGATTACCCAACCTTAATAGCTGAAAATAAATGTGCAACACCACTCTGCGACCAATCTACCCCAACCAAAGGCATGAACTGACCTAGAACATCTGATCTGTATTGATAAAATAGAATTAGGGGAGCCGGAAATGACTGGAAAGGAAACCTCAGTCAGCAGCAATTAAGAAATTAAGAAAGAACCAGATTATAACAGAAATCTACAGCAAAAATACACGGAACAATCAGGGTTATGTGATTTTAGCTGTCTCCAATATCTTGTGGGCCAAGAGCCATGAAAACAAAAACAATTCACTTTGAGAAAAGGAAAAACGTTAATTTTGAGCTCAAGAGAAGATTTGAAGAAAAAACATAGGGTTATCCAATGGTTAATGCTAAAGCTGCATACTGTGATGAAAAAAAACATTGAATGAAACATAGAACTAAGGGGAAAAAATGCCAGCAATCAAAGCTCAAACTCCTAGCAAGTACATTTCCGGTGACTGAAATAAAAACATTTGGACAGCTGGAAGTATAAACCATGGGTAATTTCTTAGGCCATCGAAATCAGAAATCTGAATATTGTTTTATCAAATTGTTTTTCTCTATTTCACCCTAATAAACAGATTGTTTTCTTCTTTCTATAGCGTAAGCGTGTTTATCATGCAGCCCATCGATGGAATGACTCAATTGGGACAGAGATTGCCAACCTAAATCAACTGCAAACAAGCTTAGGTACCAAGGCCGAGCAACACCTCACAAAGCCAGTAAAATTAATTCCCAACTTGGTGTTATGCCCATTATAACATGAAGCTTGTGGTGAATATCATTGGTGAGATGTGGCTGTCATCTAAAACTGGCGATTAATTATCAACTTAATGAGATACACTTGAAATTTAACCTGTACTCAATCTAAACCATAAAGTGGCATAACAAGGTGCTCCGAATCAGCAAAACTCAGAAACATCCTTACCTTGTAATTGTCCCATCAACATCTGAGATTACAATACGAGTGTTCCATTTCCACAAATGTATTCTGGCATCAACCTGTTTGGTACATGATTTTGAGTCACATCCAGACTACAACCGAAAAATCAGAAATGACCTTAACAACAAAAGAGTAAATAATATTTCAGAATGAACATTTAACTTCAAGTAAGGATTTAGACAAAAAGAAAAAACCTGCTGCTTCCCAAGCATATTGGTTGAAAATGTGAAGGTTATATGATTCCTTCCTTCCTTTAAATTCAATGATGCCAGTTGTTCAGATGTTGGAGTGATTGCCCTGATCACCTTCTTCACCTGTTTGGGTTTAAGCATATTTATATAATTGCCACTAGCAGCACTACCATCTACGGCATTCTCAACATCCGAACCTCTGGTGTCAGCTGGAGCCAGCAGCACAGCCTTCCTGGATCTTGATCTTCTCATAGAAAAGGGCCAAAGCCTCCAGCTTCCACTACGAGAGGCTATGGCTTTTGATGGATCCCCTTCGATGGATTTTTCCGCTTTGTCAACAGGTATCATCCCTTTGGGTTCAAATACTTTTTCACTTCCAAAAGTAACCATCCCTAAAAGAATAGGGGCTGCTGCATCCCATGGAAAGTAGTAATCACCAATTCGAACAACAAGCCTATCATTCTTCACAATAGCGGGACTTAAAGAAATAAATTTCTTGCTATCCAGTTTTTCAGCATCAAATGCTTGACAGGCAGCTTCAGCGCCCATCCCTTCGTGTAGAAAGTGTTTGCAAAGAGACATCTCTGCGCAAAGCACAATTCATGTCACTTTCTACAGTTTACAGCTTAAAAAGCACCAGAAAGAGGGAATATTTTTCTACATTTAATAAAATCATAAAAAATAGTAAGTCGATTGTACTTTAGCACAATCCATGGATTTATCCATCACATCACAATAACCAAGTTCTCTTATTTATAATGAAAGGAAAAAGAAGATAAAAAGATAACCAAGTTCTCTTACCGACAGCAGGATTGTAAAGAGTATTTTTCAACTTCCCTGAAGTCTCACTCTCCTCACAACTAGACTTTTCATGTGCTAGTGGCTGTTCTTTATCCGCAACTGACCTTATACAGCTTGAGTCATCTTTCTTGATTGATGCCCACTTCATGGTTTCAGAATTTGAATCTAGAGAACGGCTTAGAGGATGATGATTGTTTACATCAAACAAGGCAAGAGGAGACCATATATTAGGAAGTGATTCCACCTGCCACTCATTCTTCTCACCAGCTACACTATGATTTCTAGAAATACTAATGGGATTAGAGACTATCCTTGTTTTTTCAAAAGAGATTTCCAGATTGGTTGATGGATTCTCCTGAACAAATTTGTCGGGATTTAAACAAGACTCCTTATTCACATTACATAAACCATTTACTTCTTCATTTTCAGTACAAATGGAGGGAAGATCTTTATTTACACAATTTGTTTTGTGGAGTTTGAATGCATCAAGGTCAGTGAAAAGGAATTGCTCATCCTCTGAACTCTCTGATGATGGAACACTTCTCTTTGGGTCACTATCACCATAAAAGTTCTCAGAATCATCAACAGACTCCACAGAAGGATCAACAACATCCCTGATATTTTTCCCATTTTCAACATGATCACCTAAATCACTAATGGGGGCATTAATGTGAATGCTACATGACTTAAATTCTTCCAAACCAATTACAGGGTCAGCACCAACCAAGTAAGATTCTGACATGGTTAATGTCCCTGTAGAACCTAACTCCATATCTTCAGCTGAATTGGGAACTGTAACCTGATGAAAACCACCTAGTACATCAGTACAGCAAGATTTATGAAGTATCACAAGAATTCTATTTGAAGAAAAACTTAGTTTCAATATCATTTCTATAGTAGTGGAGAGCAGTTTTGTTGTCTTTAAAAGAGTAATGCATTATTAATATCCTTAAAAATAATAATTTGTTTAAAATGTCTCTGCAACTAGACAGAACATTTTTTATGAGAGCTCACCTCTGGCACTGGCTCAGTTGTTGTAAGCAGTGTTTCAGCATGAACAAGTGCTTTACCATTTCCTATGTCAGAAAGGCACAGTGTTTCAAGAGTTTGCTCACTGGAACCATCCAATGTCATTTCTGAGCTCTCTGACATTTTGCCGTTAACAAAAGCCTGAAGACTGTCTGAAACATTCTCATTACCAGCCAGTTCATCAAACTGCTTGTCAATACATGATTCAAACTTATATTCACTTTGTGTATCAGGACCACTCATCCCTGACCCTGAGACAACACCAGTCGCATTCTCATCATGATCCAAATTCCTGATACTATTATCATCCATAACTACTGATATATTGGCTATTAGTTTGCTTTTGTCTTCCCCAAAACCTTCACCTAACGAGGAGGTTTCAACAATTTGTTGCTCGGCGCTTACACAAGACACTTGTCCGTTAGCTTCCTCAACAGAACACTCTAGTTTCTCAAAGCCAGAAGAACAGCTGACCTTTTGCTTGTTGCAGTAATCAGTTTTGTCTTGTAATGTCTGGCAATCAACACTGTTTTCCTCCTTATCACGTACATAAGTCTGAAACAGGTTTTCTTCATCATTCTGCATCCCCATTCCAGAACCTTTATTGTCTAATGCATCGTTTGTAGAAGAAAAACGCCAAGCATCATTCTTTGATCTATTGGAAGCAAGATTGGTAGACCACTTCACCTCCAGCAGCTCAGCAGCAAGCTCAGCACGCTCCAATGAATCTGATCTCATTACACCAGTAACACCAGCACCCTCCTGGTAACTATCCTCCTTTATTGACCTCTGTCCAGAAACAAACCCAAATATTCCTGGCCGCCGCGAACTGGTCCTAGCCACAAGTTTCCCATTACTCATATCAACTTGAGCCACTGAATTAGACTCATCAACATCATAATTGCAACTCTTGGACTTCATTGGCTTTCTATTACCAGACGGCGGTTCATCTGTCTCATCCCCAGAAGACAAAGGAAATGATACAGCATCAGGTTCCCTTTCTTCAACATCTATCTCCCTGAGAAAATATGCTTCACCCTTATGATCAAGAAACATGTTGAAATTCGCCTCGATGCCATTTACAGAGATGCTTACCGACTTTTCCTTCTCCCTTGTTTTTAAAACCCCTTGAAATTTACCGAACCGAACATACCAAGGCGATGATTTGAAGCTCCCATCGGGTTGCTCCACTACAATTATATCCACTGCGCCGCCAAAAGGATGAAATGGACCAGAGACGGAATACACACCGCGGGAGATATAGCTACCTAGCCTGCCCACCGCGTACATACTCTTTTCTTTGAATTTCTAAGACCGCCCAGATCTCAAACACTTGAAATTTCAAGCATAATCTGCTGAAAAAGTGTAAAGCTTTTAATTTTCCAAAAATCCCATATAAAAGAGTCTCAAATTTCAATACACAATTAAAGAACTCCAATCAATCAAAAGAGAAAACCTCGTCGTTGTAGATGAAGAAAGCCAAACATAGACAAAAAGTATCAATCTGGGAATTGTTCAATGCAAAGGAACTCGAAATTAAAGAAACAAACAATAAAATAAATAGTCAAACCAAACAAGATAAATATGTGTTCGTGTCTACATATACAACAGAAAAAAGAAACAGTCGCTGTCTCTCGTGTTCTTCTGTGTGTTCCTCAGCTGTAAACTAAACGCAAGTAAAAAAGAGACGTGAGCAACCAAACCTACAAAAGAAAAGGAAAAACCCAAACCGCCAAAACGAGAACGGTAGTTGACATGAATCAAAAGCATATTCGTATCCAGAAGATGCTGCGTCATTTAAAAAATAATAATTTTTAATTGTTTATGAATATTAAATAAATGAACATAATTTTTAAAATAAATATAAAATATATTTTAAAAATTTGATAGTAAATTTAAAATTAAATAATCTTAACAAATGTTTATTGTATCATCCAAATGTTTTTCAGAAATCATTGTATAATCCTAACAATTTTTACAAAGTAATATAATAAACACCCTGTTGAACAAATAATTTTTTCCTCGCCTTACATAAATAATCTTCTGCACCCCATTATCAAAGCAATTTTACCATGGATGCTCATAACAAAATCCCAAGTAACATTGATATTTATGTTATACAAAAGGGACTGTATGTACAAATCAATTGAGCTAAATCTTAACACCACTAAGATTCGTATTAATGATGGATAAAAAATTGAAATGTCTCATCTTGAAGAAGAAGATATATGCGCGTAGGTGGATGACGAGGAATTCGACTAATCCGGATTGGGTTTTTGTAGAAAGAAGGAAAATATCAAGAATAATGATTTTTCAGTCAAATTAAAATCATGTCTAACATTTGATTTTACAAGATTTTCCAAGGTATGAAATTTTCCTGTTGGTCCAATGAAACGGACACATCATATGACCAGTCCACAACAATCTCTCAATGGCTCTTTCCCTTACCTTATAATTTGACGGGGAAAGTATACCACTCAATCAGGTGGTCCTTTGCTCTTATTTGTTCTCATCTTTCGCGTTCAATGAATTCTGCATCTCTGCTACTATTTTCTCAATGTTTTATGTTCACTGTTCGTGCCCTGCAGAACAGAAAAATGCACATTATTTTCAATGCTGGATGTGCCTTAAAATTCTAATCACGGTTTTTTCTTCCTTGAGCCCTGCAGCTGCAGGCATCACCTTTTTGTGGGGCTTCTTTATTGTTCATGCTGTTTTAGAAAAGGGAATTCCCAGATGGGTCAATTCCATGGTTTCTGATATAATCATTCCATATCTAAAAACTCGGCCAATAAAATATTAGTTTGAACTTGCTTCAGCGATGCAAGCTTGTGTATATAAACTCATGCACGCAGACTTCAAAAAGTAGTATGAGGCTGGAAGATCTTCTGCCTTTGTAGACTCTGTAACTTTGTCGTGATGATGGGAAATTTATCACCTGGTGGACACAAATTTAAACTTAAAAATGGCCCTGGAAAAGAGAAAAAGAAGGCAGGGAAACTATGAAAATCGCTGCCATCATTACAACCTATCATCATCCTCATTATTATGGTCTTGGGTTTTGAATCTTTAATCAGTGTCACTCAAATGGATCATGTCTTTGATATTACTCCCAAGTACATTGTTCAACTTGAAAGCAGATGCAATTAGTTGTGTGCTTGATGCTTTTACACAAATTTCTCAAGCTGTCAAGTCATCATGAGTATCCCAAAGCTCTTTTTGAGACCCCCCATGGTCTGTGCTCTTCTATTCAGCTTTACTCCCTCCTACTTACAGTAGATTCAAACTTTTCCTTTTTCTGAGGGGGCTTGATTCATGGGAAAATTCTAAATAAAGAAACTTTTTTCAAGCAAAATGAACAGTTGAGAAAAAAAGGGCAGGCTTGATGATGATGCGTTGCTCTTTTTACTGAAAATGAAGAGGTTAACCATGATTTAGCATTTCAGTAGGAACAAGCAGAGGATACCAATAATCACACAGTTAGAATTCATCAGGGGCCAGGGAGTATGAATTATTAAATGCTCTACTAACCAATATTAAGAATATTCAAAAATACATCATAAATGCCTTCTCATATTTGACATTCTGAAATTTAATTATTAATTTAATGCAACCAACTAATCGTGTAAGGCAAAGAAAGGATCAGTCTTCAGTTTAAGATGTTGAAATTTATCAAAGCAATCATCACTTTTATCTTCAAACTAATTGCATACTCCTTTATAAAATGTACCATTTTATACACAGGAAAATATAATTATATATATGCAGTAAAAAGGAAAAGAAGGTAAAATAACCTATTGAAGTTAATAAATATGAAAAGAACAAAATCGAAACTGGGCCTAGCAGTTAAATTTGTCTTCCCCTTTAATGGAATTCTTGCAATGGGCAATCGCAGCTTGAATTGCAGCCTGCAACTCTTCCATGGTGCTGTAACTGGTTGAAGAAGAGTAGCCCGTGGTTGCAACAAGAAGACCACTGTTCGTAGGCGATATCCTCATCGAAGCCGGCGCTGAACAGCAATCTCTCCTTGCTCTCAACTCTTTGTCTTTGCTTCTCGAACTGAAATGGCCTGAAAATGAGTGAGATTGCCTATGGGGATGGCGGTTCAATCTCCTTCCTCTGAAGAGCAACAACGGCCGAACCAGCCTCACGTACCTCTTCAAAACATGTCTCAAGTCGAATCTCATCTTTGTCTTGTGCTTCTCTTTTTCTTCTGTTTCCCTGACGCCACGCCCTTTGTGGTGGTGCCACCTTGTTATACGGGGTAAGGAGAAAGACTTGGACTTGGGCCTTCCTTTGGCTTCAACGTCGTGGCTTTGATGAAAGTTACCAACTTTGGCATTCCCATGGTTCTTGTTTCTGCTTCTGATATTGCTGTCGCTTTTGCTTTTATAATTGGTGCTGCTGAGTTTATCAGGTTTGGATTCATCAAATAAATCTCTAACAGGAACGTTGCATCCATCCAATGAATTCGTAGAGCAACGTGGAGACACCTGGAGGTGAGAAAGGAGGTGGAGAGGGAGCAAATGACCATGAAAGAAAATGTCATCTGCTGGTGACAAATCGATAGCCATTGAAGGCGGGGTTTTGGTTTTACCCGGGATAGTGTTGGAGGAAGAATGGAGAGATACGACTGTGAAGGAGAATTCATGAGAAGGGAATGAAGATGCTGAAGGAGGTGAAGCTGGGGATTGCTAATATGTTGGTGCTGCTGCCCCTTCTTGTTTTATTTCTGCAACTTCCTTCCTAGTTTTTTTGTTGCTGATAACCATCCATGATTGTAGTTAAGCTAACTCCACAATATCTGATTCAGTATCTGAAATAAAATGATTTTTTTCCCCTGCTGAGAGAGGGAGAGGGGATGGGGAATATGGAGAGAGAGTGTGTGTGTGTGTTTGTAAATGGTACATATTTTGGTTACTTTTATGCATTATTCAATAAGATAGAAAGGGTGGTGGCGGTGGCACTTTGAAGATGGGGTGAGATTGAAATATTTTGGAGATTAAGCATAGAAAGGGTTGGGGGGTCCTTGTCAAATCCAACAACTGATACATATGCAATATAGAGGAAACAATCCATTGATTATATTGATAGACAAACCAGCAAAAACTTACCAATAACAAGAGATTGAACCATCGACTTTATTTGACAAATCCATAAGCTTAGACATCATACATTTACAACAAGCATCAAGAAAGAAGTGAACCAATGTCCAATAACCGCCATTACCAGCTAATGCTTCAAACAGAAAGTTCTACAAGACTAACAACACGGTTTCCACTCCTCATTTAATTGAATACTTCTCACTGACCCAGTGAGTGAGATCAAGTTTAGTATTTATATCACTCACAGGCTCTTCAACCAGGGGAGCATTTCTTCTGGTCCATCTTTCAAGCTTCTAGGTCTGTAATCCAACTCCATCTTGGCCTTGTTGCAAGTATATGCCCATTGATGCCTTAAAACATGCACAGTCTGCACGACATAGAAAACAGAGTTCTTTATCAAATGGTTAAGCAAAGCTATGAAAATGAAGAGCCGAGACAAAACATTATGATGTTTGTAGGGAACATCATAACAAATTCCAACGGGTTTAAATGTTCTAATATATTAATGGACGGAAGCCATTGAGGAGATCATACCGGGGGACTAATGAGAGGAAGCTTTCCTGTAATTCGGGCAAAAAGAACAGAAATCCATCCATAAACTTCAATCAATCCTAAAGGGATGTTGAATTTAGGCGTAGCAGTTCCAGTGATAATGGCAGCTACATCGAAAACATGCCTGAATGATGCATTTTCTCCTGTAAGTAAATATCTTTCCCCAGGTCGACCCTTTTCCATGGCTGCAATATGACCCTCCACTACATCATCCACATGACTGAAAGAAAACCCATCATTTCCACGGCCTATGTAACCAGGTAATCGCCAATTAAATAGTTCAATTATCTGAATAATGTACCATTCAATGTCATCAATTAATAGAACTACCGCAAGTTATAAAAAATACAAAATTTGAAGAAGAAAAAAATCTTACTAATTGAGCAACAACATTGCCGGCGGTAAGCTTGCCAGGACCATAAATTACACCGGGATATACTGGAATAATTGGCATCCCCTCAGCTATAGATTGCAAAGCAATCTTGTCCGCGGTGGCCTTTGATTTCTCATACTCCGTGCAGAAGAATTTCTGGATGAGTCTGTCAATTAGAGTTTAGAAAATCAGAAACAAAATTTATTTTCCTCGTTGAATAATCTGGGTGATTAACTGTTTATTTCTTTACCTGATTCTCATCGGCGATATATCCATCTGTAGGACCAATAGCGAAGAAGGACGACGTGTATATGATTCTCTTAATTGTATTTGTCTCCTTAGCTGCTTGCAGCAGGTTCTTCAGACCCCCAACGTTGACCTTTCATCGAACAATTTGATGGCAGCATTTCAGTACATATGTAAAAAGAAGGAATTATTAAGTGGGCAAATGCAATTTGATTTGGCATACAGAGACGAATCTGGAAGGATCTGGAAGCCAGGGTTCGACGAGTGCAGCGGCGTGGAAGATGACGTCGCAGCCGGAGCAGGCATCTAAAAGGGATGGGTAGTCTGTGACGTCGCCGTATGCAAGTTCATTGGCGGGTGAAGATGAAGGAAGTCCAGAGAGGTCACTGGTGCGCCGGACCAAGGCTCTGATGTTGTAGCCGCGGTTCAGCAAAGCGTGGCACAGTCTTCCTCCTAGATATGCCGATCCGCCAGTTACGAGTATCTTCGTACTTTAAAAAAAATTTAGCTGACCTATTCCATATGGGGCAGGGCACGTAGGATATAATCATAGCAGGTTACCCAACGTCAGAAGAATAACTCATGTAATATTTCCGACAGTTAAAATTATGAATTATTTATTTTGAGACTCGATTCTATAATCATAAAAATAAAATTCTTGCACTTTATCAATTCTTAAATTTAAAATAGTAAAAAGATTTGCAAAATCCTTGTAAACATATTTTAAAAGAAATGATCATCCAGCTCAGTTGGTAGAGCACAAGGTTTTTAACTTTGAGGTCGTGGGATTGAGTTCCACGGAAAACATTTCATAATTCGAAAGTTTCTTACGAAAACTACTCTCAACTTGGTATTGAGGGTAGCTTAGTATCTTACCTCTCCTTACCCCATATATATGAAAAAAAAATGACAGCTATTTTTTTGAAAACATATTTTAACTAATAACTAAACAAACATGACACAAATAAGAAAATAATCCGACACAAATTTATAAAAATATTAAAATTTAAATAAAATAATTTGTTCTATTGCAAATTTAAATCAATATGAAAAATTACATGAATATGTACGAATGTACAGAGACTACAAAAGTACATATCAATTACTGTATATATTATTTTTATAATTAAGTTCTCACTTTTTTAAATATTATTTTTTATCTTTATAATTAAGATCTCATTTTTTTATTTTTATAATTAGATCCTTAATTTTTAAATCTTTTTTTTTATCTTTATAATTGAGGTACTAATATTATTCAATCTCACTTTTTATCTTTATTATTGAAATCTCTATTTTTTCAATCATTTTTTTACTTTTATAATTAAGGCCCCTAAATTTTTAATTCCTCTTTTTAACTTTATAATCGAGGCAATTAGGTTTTTTAAATCTCAATTTCTACCTTTTCTTCCTTTACAACTGAGGTCTCTAATTTTTTTTTTCAATCTCAAATTCTACCTTTATAATTGAAGCTTATAATTTTTTAATCCCTCTTTTTTAACTTTATAATTAAAGCCCTTAAGTTTTTTCAATCACACTCTACCTTTCTAATTGAGGTCCCTAAGTTTTTTTAATCTCAATTATATCTTTATAATTGAGACCCCTATTTTTTTCAATATCGATATATACTTTTATGATTAAGGCCTCTAATTTTTTTCCAATTTCATAAAATCCTCAATTTCTCATCCATTTCTCCATCTCTCTAGTTAATTCATTTAGTTTTGAATTAAATCTAATTATATTTGTCTTTTTTACAAATGTTATTTTTCATTTTACCAAATATATTTATTTAATTTCTCCAATCTCAATCTAACGATAACATAATATGTTATTCTTTATTTCTTAATTTATTATTAAGAATCAAACACAATACCATAATTCATACCCACATTCGATTTTTTATTCTCTTAGTCGTATTTAAGGTGTTTTCTTAACAAAACAATGAAATTAATATTCGAAAAAGTTTAATCATTTTCCTACGATATTAAATTAATTGTTTAGAGTATTGGAATATAATTTACTTCTATTAAGGCTCATTTTTTATTTTCGCTCAAGGTCTCGAAAATTTTCAAGACGCCTCTGCTGAAAGTCATTATATTCCAACGTAAGTTTTGGATCAAACCACTTTATAGTATTTTTCTCCAACAAAGGATTGGGTTTTGTTGTTGTTGTCGTCGTGTCTCCATCTATGAGAATCTACTACTAGTCTATATTTCATAAAAGCATAGACTTCCAATCAACCATTGCACATAATCAATACTTTTGATAGATAAAACTTCTGAGAGGCCCATATGATATGTGGGAATAAAATTTAAAATTAAAATCTAATTTACTGACCTACAAATAATATTGATTAACATAAGAATGACATGTAATAAAAATATATATAAATACTAAGATTTAAAAAAAAAAAAATCTTCCCTCATGAGACCGAAAGGTTAATTTAAGAGGTCATTTATAAAGAAGTTGACTTTCGACGCCTATTGGAGGCGGCCCGACACTCATTTATTTCGTTATCTATCACTCAATATAAAATAATAATTATTATTTGATTTATAGATAATATACAATTTCATGTACTATTAAAATAATTTTATAATAAATTTATTAATATCTAATTCACTTAATATATATAATTATACATTGTTAATGTGTTAAATATTATTTTTTAAAACATGAGTAAATAATTATGATGATGTTTATTTTAATTTTATGTCGTTATGATTGAATTTTAATTTAATTGATATTATTATCATTATAATGTATACAAAGTTCCAAATATAAGTATATTTAAACAGATAATTACTTATAAATATGAAATTATTAATAGTTTAAGTACGAAATAGAAAAAAACTATTAAGGTTCTAATCAAATAATAACCTGAAATTCAAAATGTTGTCACCAACTTCATTCCTTGAGAAAAATAAAAATTCTTGATTTTGTAGCTTAAAATAATTGATGCATGGACCCTAAAAGTTCTTCGATGTACAATCACTACCGCTTTAACCCTACACATCAACACTGTTAATAATATACGCTTTAACCCTTGCAACTCACAACGATTCCTCATCCACAAGCAACTTTCACAATAGTTGAAAGAAGCAAACTTTGTTCCTACAAATCAAGTATGTTAACCCCAAGCAACTTTTTAATTTAATTAGGAGCGCAAACATTCATAATTTATTAAGTATTGAAGTTTAATTAACTTTAACGTAGTTTAAATATCATATAATTATTTACTTATTACATATAATATAAGCTAATTTATTTTAAAAATACACAACAAAAGTGAAGCAAAGCTGTAACACACCAAAAATTGGGTTAAATTGAAGTGTTGGTAAGTTTATTAGTCTATTTGGGAACTCTTTAAAAATATGGGGCTTTGGGTTGTAATTAACCCATAAATATTGGGGTTTGAATACCCAAAACTTGCATTCACGGTTACCATTTGGTATTTTGAAAAAAAAATAAATAGGCACTTTAGTATGTTCTCTATTTATTTTCTCTCAACAAAACATTTTTTGTTTTTCTTCGATTCATTGCTAATCGAGAGGAGGTGTTCGAGACCTTTAGTATCATTGCATTCGTCTCGTCGACCTCGTTCATTCGGTGTCCTTGGATTTCTGTTCACCATTTCCGTTTGCAATCGGTGAAGTTTTGAATATTCAGAATTCACTAAAAACCCCATCTCTATCGATCTTTTTCGCAAACTGGCCCGGTAAATGATTCCCCTTAGTTGGAATTATTTTTCTATAAATTTTGGTATTTTTTCGGCCATCGTAAAGTCCCCCATGCGCTTCCATGCGTAGCCGTGCGCACATAGGATTCGTCCGACAGTTTGGACCAGCTAAACCGATCACCCCTTGGACCGAACTGAATGGGTCGTTAACCCTACCCGTTGACCGTTTCCTTTTGACCATTAACCATTAAATTTTGATCATTGACTTTTTATG